TGATCAGGCTGGCTCAGCCGACCCATCCAAACACGAAGCCTTCATAATTTTCGTAAAAGCTTTACAAACAGCTTCGAGACTTTGTCGCGGCATCTTCTGTAGCTGGTATTCCAACACGAAAAAGGCACAGAAAACTTGCCAAATTTGTTTTGCTTCGGCTTCATCATCTTGCCGAGACATCTCCGGACGTTTCTGATAGCACTAATGCTGTGGACCGGCGTGCCCAAACACGGATGGTCTTCGTGGCTGTTTCATAACTAATTTTTAGCCCTTCAAGCACTGCGCAAGCTTCCAGCCCTGAACAGTGCATACGCTGGGCAAACAGCCAAAGCAAAACTCAGAACTTGCCAGCAAAAACCTTGACGCTTGAAAATCTTTACAGGGATCTCAGATTTTCGCAACCGAAGCAGCGCTGCCGCTCTACGGCGTGGCCGCGAGGGACGGCGTAATGTCAGCCCACGCCCGGTCGTCAGCGTGCCGCCGTCGCTGCGCCGTCCGCCCTCGGAGAAGCAGCGCGCTGTCGCGCCGCCTTCGTATCGCCGCTCTCATCCGAGCTCATGCATAAAGTATCGCATTTTCACCACACAGCCACTGCAACATATCCATAACGCCGGAGCCGTCAGGCGGCACGACGCTGCATTGCGGCTAACCGGTTCGTGTGAGCTCTCAGATCCCGCCGACGGCGGCAGAGGTCACAGGCGCCTGGTACCGCCCTCCCATGGGGCGCGAATCTGCTTTTGGTGGTTGGAAAGAACAGGTTCTAAATTGTATCTCGATATCATGCATTAAAGAGCCTTAGTGTGGCTGTAGGGGTGCGTGCTTGAGGTCGCATGGAGGAGTTCCTGATGATATTGGAAAATAGGGTGCGATAAACGGCGAAGAACGCGGGCCAAGCGATGGTAAAGGTGGTAGGGAGAACAAACGACGCTCGGAATACTCAGCCTCTGCCATAAAGGAAACTCTGACCAAGACCTATGGGCCTCTGCAAGTCAAAACTGGTAGCGGTGTAGATGACTCGCAAGCAGCCGGTCAACGATAATATTACCAATAATAAAAACAAACACGTGTATCATAGATTAATAATATACAAGTGCTTCCGCGCTTGCTTCGCCAAGCGTCTGTGGTAGATTTGCGTTTACATTACTGTGGAATTCATTTAATGTCATCTTTGGGCCAAACTGAACTCAGGCTGTCGGGTTGCCAGACGGGAACCGAGTGTAATGTGTTAGCTGCCAGGCACGTCCAAATCTCGCTCTCCGGATTTCCACTTCGGTTGGAGTGTTGTTATGCATTCCAAAAGTTCAACAATCTCACACTTCCTACCGCTGTAAATTCCAGATCTCTCTAATGCCGCCACTGCCACTTGTCAATGCTGCTGCAGTATTTTTGTGTTGCGATGCTTTTGGTGACTCCGAAACACACCCTGTGAGGTCAATAGTATTGTTGTTTGCCATAGCAGTGAGCCCCGCTGAAATTTTCCTGCATTTCGTAGGTCCCCTTATCGCACCTGTTGCAAATTATTACTCACCCAGTGTGTGTGGCCTAATGCATTTCATTGTCACTACGGCTCACTTTTCTCGCCACAACGAACGAATGAATGCATGTATAAATCATTGAAGGGCTGACGGACGCCGACAAAAGCGCGAGCGCGCCTCGTCGTTTTACTAGAAAACAAACAAACAAAAACTGGCCGCCAGCGACTGAGCGATCATCCGATCAACATTTGGTCAACGTGAAAATGTGGAGTCGAAAGCTGGACGGGGTAGTGCACAAAATGAAGAATAGATGAGCGTTAAATACAGGCAACGAATCGGCACACGCAATGATGTACGTTTTGCCACGATCCTGACAGCGGTTTCGACGACAGCGTGTTGCATTCGACGCCGTTTTTCGAAATGCAGATAATCCCAGCATGCCCGACGATTATCGGCACAACCGTGCGTCGCCGCACAAACTCGTATTGTTCACATGAATTGACGAAGGTGCGTCGGCCGATACCTTGGAAGTCGTTTCGCGACTCCACGTACTCCAGCTGCCGATATTTAGTACAAAACGTCAAAACCGGTCAAAACAATCGATGACAAGCGATGAGATGAGAAGACAAGCAATGAGCGTCCAGGCCTTTTTGAATCAATGGGCTGGTCAAAGAAACTTAATTAAGTTTAGTATGATGCGCCGTGTATGTTGCGTGCATATTTTCCACACTTTGTTCGGTCATTATTTTACTCCGTGTGGTCCCTTTCATAATAATGTTATCGAGACTGCGCATTATCGCCAAACCTTGCGTTATCATATCAACTCACCCGTCCGGTTTCGTCCCGACGTTTGCACTCCCTATGACCCATTCTTACGCCGCTGCCGGCACCAGGAGCTCATAACACATGATTAAGCTGGCCGGGGCGAGAGGTGTCTTCAAATGACGCGAATTTAGGGCTAAGCCGGTCAAACTGAACGGGAAGGTGAGGCGGCTGCGGGGATCGTGGGAGAAGAAGACACCACCGTGTACAACGCTCAGCGACTTCTGCTCCGAGGCGCCGATGACGTCACATGCGGTGGAGTCCAGCTGGCAACAAGTCCAGTGGAAGACGTGACAAAAACACGCTCGTGTATACGTTACGCTTTCGCTGAGCGTCACCCATGACAACACAGCTGACCTCCGATGTAACCTCCCTTGACTTCACGTGCCGCTGTCGTCTGGGGAACGCGCTCGTGTAACAGTATGTGTCATTTGTTTGGGCTCGTTAGAAACACATATTCAGTAGTTGGTGACCGGTCCGACCTAAGCGCCCATGCTGATGGCGCCGAATCTTTGACTGTATGGGCGATAACGAAGTGAGGTGTTCCAGAATGGTGCTGGGCTCAGTCGTGGCCATTTATCCGCTTTCGGTCCATTTGATTGGCACAATACGGACACAGTGGCCTATCTATCCTGACGCCGTAAGCACAGCAGGGGCATGGGCACATAACAGCGCTCGGAGGCACGTGCCTTCCATCACCGTCGCAGTTACCGAATTTATGGCGTGTATTGATATGCACGTGACTTAATTCTGGCGGTGAAATATTTCAGGTATGCACGTAAAAAAATACATCGAGAGCATGTGATGTTGTACCACGATATGTCATAAATTGGGAGTACCTGCGGCGCATCAAGCTCCGTGTTCAGTAACAGATTATTGAGTTGTCCCTCTCAATTGTGAGATTCTGCTTGCGCCCCAGCGGCACAGCGTGCAGTGGCAGCAATGCTCAGAACATCCCCGCTTTTCCAGCATCTTCGACTAGAAAGTCAGCTGGCGTTATAGGCTGCGCCGCAAAGCTAACCCGCCCTGCGGCGCAGCCTAGCAACGCATGACGTCATGCGACTGCAAGCCGGCAGAGTCGGGCCACCTGCGATCCGAAAGAAAGCCAGGCGCAAACGGCATGGAGAGCAGGCCGTCTGCGAGCGCCCGGAGTCTGCGTCCAGACCGTCGGCATGGCAACCAGTCGGCTTGGCCGGGTCGACGACAGTTCGCTCATGATCCCGCCCAGGGCAGGCGAAAAAGCGCCCTCTGATGCGACGCGCAGCTGGTGGACAAAAACGACGCGTCTGAGACGAAAAACCAGCCCAGCTGGGTGTCCACGCTACCCTGAAACGGCAGACGAGCCGCGTTTACTGCCTGCGAGCAGGATACAGCGCGGAGCAAGGGGCACTACGAGCCCCTCGCGCTTCGTGAAGTATCGAGTTCCGCCGTTCGGCATACCGTGCTTCTTTCAAACACAAGTTCTTTGGTGAACAGATTCAGGTGTAAGACTCGTGCTTACCTAAGCCGCATTCCTCAGCATAATACTTATGCAGTCATGCAGCGTTAATGAAGCACGGTTGATGCGCATATCATCAACCAATACAGGCGGAAACTGTTCTACGTTGCGAGTGCAGCAGCCAAATGCTCTTCAATTCTAAGCCCATGTTTCAGGAAATACGACTCCATGTTTGGAAATGTCACGACCCCTACACGCCACCGCTTGCAGTGGTTGGTGGCCACATCGCTCTCCGGGATGGCTTTCCTTCACAGAATGCCGTGAACATTCGTCTGAGCGTCAGGTAAAGGTCATGGCAATAACTTCAGATGTCCCGCTTGATCCGATCATCCACCAGTCATGGAGCGTCTAAAGAGCCGAGGGACATCAAGCGTGCAGGGTGATGGTTCCGAAGTTACATAAGAGAGGTTGGTGCTCGTGGAGCGACCAGCTGCCGCATCACCTGCTCTTGGTGGCTTCATGGGGGAAGGCGCCGAAAATGGCAGCATTCGGGGATGGATAAGGCTTCGTTCCTCTTGGCAGGAACGTTCCCCTGTTTTCAGCGGTTTTCCTCTTTTTTTCTACAAAGCGCGGCCCAAATCACGGAAGTTGCCAAAACTGCCAAAAAACGCCAAAAAGCTCAATAGTGGTAGCACAAAAGTTGCGTACGTCCCCAAAACGGTGGACGAAGTTTCCTAGTAAGGATGTAGTTCCATATTAAATTGGGGGAGGGGGCCCCGCCCACTCCAACATTGAGATGAGTCCACCTCAACTTTGAGAAGGAGTTGGGTCGAGTTCGGGAAGAAAACCCGTTTTGGGCGTATTTTGGAGGTGGGGTGCGTACTTGTTTCACTACCCACCCCATTTTATCTTCAAAATTATACGCAAGGCACCCATGCACTTCGTAAGACAACGCTGATGGTAATACGGCTTTACGTCGGAGCGCCGCCACTGTCTGCTCCTGACAAAGTTCATGCTATCGAACCACGTCAAAGTGCGTGAAGGAGACCTTTGTAGCTGGAAATATTATGCCTGTGTAATGCTGTAAGCAGGCTGTAAAGCGCCCAGACAATCCCAACGAATCAAAGGTCAAATTGCTGGCAAAAAATAGCGCAATAGGTTATCAAGCTTGGAAATGTGCGGGTTTTGGTAGTAGGCACTCTTACTTTTATTA